AACGAATGAAAAAATTACTAATAAACTCTACGTTATAGAAGCCTTTAAGATGTGGGTTTTTCGAAGGATGCTAAAGATCTCTTGGACAGAGCACGTGACCAACAACGAGGTGCTAAGAAGAATGGGTACTGAGAGAGAACTCCTAAATGTTGTAAAAAACAGCAAAACGAGTTATCTAGGACATATTTACAGAGGAGAAAAATACAACTTCCTACGACTTAAAATGGAAGGGAAGTGGAAGGAAGAAGAAAATGTTCATGGTTAAAGAATGTAAGGACTGGACAGGTTTAGGAGACACATTCGATACTAAGAACAGCTCAAGATAGAGAGCAATTTGCTGTAGTTATAGCCAACCTTCAGTAATGGAGAAGGTACCTTAAGAAGAAGATTTCTAATTATAATTTAATTAAAATATTAAAATTCACCATGATTTTCATTCATTCATTCGTTCAAGATAAGGGTTTCTAAATCTGTTTACGTAACTAATTTCAACTACTTTTAATTATTAATAGCATTAATAGTAAGTACTTTCTACACGTTTTGTAATTTAACAGCCAAAATTTTACCTGGACATATAGTGGACAAATACTTTCAGGTTTTTCACTGATGATGATTCGACTAGATTTGAAAGATTTGAAATCTTTTTGCATAAACTTTTAAATTACTTTTTAATAAAGAATACACCATTATACATAAGAAGTTCTAATTTCTATGTAAGTTTTTTTTAACTATTGTATACAGATAACCACTGGGATTTTCTCCTTTTACTTTGAAACTAAAATATTATAGGCAAAAATGTTAACAAAAATAAGATAAGTGATGGTAATAAGAACTCAGATAACTCACAATAGAGACAAAATTATTGCTGATCTTTATTGCTTAATTAATCTCTGGTGGATTTTATTGGCGATAAATATTTATCTCCCCACTTCCTCATTAATATTGTCGGATGTAACTAGAGATCCTATATATGTAAATCTATATGTGCAAAGGCTATATTCGTCTAGATTTTGCCAGCTCTCTGGGATATAATTTAGGCAACAATTTTTTTCCTTGTGTCATTCATTCCATGAACGCGATAGTATTACACCTCGGGAGCTTAAATTCGTAGCACAAATCTGACTGTATGATGAGTCAGCTGTAGTAGCGCTTTATGGAAATTTTTTAATTGAGCATGGTGTAGATGTACATGTGTGTATGTTTATTTTGTGTTTATGTGTATGTGTATATTTAAGTGTGACTGATGTAACCGTGTGTGGTAACCGTGTGTTTGGAATGAGAACTTTCTCATCCAGTCTTTCCTGTGTTGTGTACTAGTTAGCGAACTAGTGAGCTTAGACTCACAGTCTCAGTTCGGAAGGAATAGCTGGACTTTTGAATATATCATGTTGACGTCAGTGTGAGACGAGTTTAGGTAGAATTATCACTCTGGAGAGCCTAGCTGAATTCATGTTTCGTAGTGAACAATATTCGAATCTCGTGACAGATATAATTACAAGGAATATTCCACAATTAAAGATCAAAATACGTTTATTGACGTTTCAATTTCCACTTCGGAAATCGTTCTCAAAATACAAACAGTAAATTAAACCAATTTTTATTTAAATTTAATTAATTAATTAATTTAATTTAATTTAATTAAGTTTAATTAAACAAATTTAATTAAACAAACTGTTTGTATTTTGAGAACGATTTCCGAAGTGGATATTGAAACGTCAATAAACGTATTTTTATCTTTAATTGTGGCTTATTCCCAGTTAAATAGTAATTAATTAAAAATGTCACAAGAAAATAGCTTCAGAACAATAATAATTAGAAGGGTAATGAAAAGAAAGAAATAGAGATGGTGGCGCAGGATATTAATAAAACAGCAAGAATATTGTAGTAGTAGAGTAATAGAGTAGGTATAAGAGAGAATAAATGAGAGAGCGAAAGGGACATCAGCGAGTTGAGATTTCTAGAGGATAGTAATTCCATAATTCGTTTAAAGATTTTGCTGCCACTGTCATATTTTCCTCTTACCATAATTACTAAATCATCCGCATAGGCGTACACTACTCCCAGTGCGTCAAGGAGCAAGATCAAGTAATCCACCAGAAGTGGCCACTGGAGGGAAGAAAGTACTTCCCCTGTGGGCACCTCCTAGCTATTTTGGCCAAATCTGGCAGATCTGTTAGAATTGGCCTAGTTTCCTGTTACATACAGTTAATATTCCTGCCCCTATAGTTTAAGTATCTGAAATAATCAATTTATCTGAATGAAATACAACGTTCAGTGATGATTCAACGGTCGTGTTCCCATTTCTAGAAAAAGTAATGACTTATCTTAATCTCAAAAATTTTCTATTCTTTTCCATTCTACTATCGAATTCTTTCCTGGTAGTGCTTCAGTTTGGCTTAGAAAGACCGTAGTCTGTTTTAACTGGATTTTTAACTGGACTAAGGATTCTTTGATCTGATTTTTCGTATAAAATATTGGTTTCAAAAATATTTACAGTGATGGACGCACTACCGTAAGAGACAACTATATGAATATCTTACTATCTCTTGCAATGATGGCTGCATTACCGCAAGATATTATCTTATCTTATTACCTTATATGAGAGATAACCTTATCTTTTTGAATCAGTTATTTTAGTTTCTTAATGTCAATTTAGATCTGTTGTGTTACAAAACAGTCCAATACTAGTACTAGTTTATATCGCCTAAGTTAAAGTTCATTTTAGAGATTAATAATTTGACTTCACTGGCTCTAAAAACTCCGTTTGAATCTTATTTTCCTGCTTGTCAACATATTTTATCATGAATAGCCAGACACTGAGCAAGGCTAGGAGTAATGTCAGAGGATCTACGGCAGTTGACTCGTCGGAATGAGAAGCTTTCATGATACGGTTTCTTCCAGAAAAATCCCGATTTAAAAGCCCAACGTGTTAGGAATCTTTTTTAAAAGACATCCTTAAGATGTAGTTATTGAACTTAGAATTCAGAACCTAACCTTTACCCATTTTGATCTTCCCAATTATGTCCCTCGGAGGAAGTCCCAACTGGAAGGACACCACGCGGACGCCCTCGTCTCCGGTGGCGAGATAATATAGCAGGAGACCTAAGCACTATGGGCGTGGAGAATTGGATGGAGGTTGCTCAAGACAGAAAACAGTGGAGGCATGTTGTCGAGTCGGCTAAAACCCACGAAGGGTTGTAACGCCACGGAGTAAGTAATTATGTCCCTGTTAGAGGCGTTTGATACATTAGTTATCACACATTTTAACTGAATAACTAATACCAAATAAATAATAATTAACTGGCTTTTGCCGTGTAAGTTAGTATAGTGTATCTTTGAAAAAATAATACAGTACTTTACTAGACTTTGCCCTTGTTCATCTTAGCATCATTATCTCACTAAAAAGTTACTTACAATCTATGGTGGTGTCATGCTCAGTCCGATTATAAGCATTGCAATTATGTCGAAATCATGGAAGGGGCTGTGTAACGTTTAAACTGAGAATCGAATTTATAGTAATGAATCTAATTGTATCGAATTGTTTTCTTTAACGAAAGCCGATTTTTTAATGACCTGTACAAAACACCCTCCGTGAATTAAAATTCCCGACAAATACTTTTAGCTCCCGCGCCTAAAATAAAGCACTTTATTGGCAAAACGCACATTGACGGGTAATATTAGTCAATTGGCGCAAATTTTATCATTATGAATGGTCGAGGATTTTGTGGAGGTAAATAAGAGCAACCGGTCACTTTGTCGTGCATTGTGCAGAACACGCTCTAAATACTTTCCATTGCGAGCCCATGGATAAGGCCTGCAATGGGTAGTATAAAGCATCAGTACTTTTTGGAAAAAATAAAGCAGTGGCGCCATGTGGTTTGGATTAATTTTGTTTTCTTGATGAACGTGTAAAGCAGGCCGTTTCCAATAATAAGTTTTCTTGCTGTGTGGACTTCTTCAGTGGCCTACGTTTTTGTTTTTGGCTGTGACCCCAGATATTTCATAGTTCTACTTTCCAAGCGGTGAAGTGTTTTTTATATGTATATACACAATGAACAATATTGACAAAAGGCTTAGTTTTTTATCTTACTTAATTCGTATGGCTCTTTTTGAAATACAGTTCGGTTTGAGTATGTAATGGTTAAGTAAATGTAACGTCTATTTTTATTTGTAAATACTAATATACTATAAATAAATATATTTATATACCATATATACCATAAATTGTAAACTCCGTTGAAAAAAATATGCCGAGAAGAAATAACATGAGCTCATCTTACCTTTTCTTCCACTTTGTATATACGCTGTCACTACTACTACGTAGTGAACAGTGAAAAGTGTAGTAGTGTCTGGGGGCTCGGGAGACTGAGACCTCGGAAGCACTGAGGAAGGCATCAGAGAGGATACCGAAAGCTCGGAACCAACCCGGAAGACTGGTGAGTTTGATATTAATTTTAGTAATAATATTAATCTTAGCTCTAAGTTACATTGTACTAACCGCGGAAATCTTTCCGAACATATGTATATATATATATATATATATATATATATATATATATATATATATGTATAAATCCTGAACTTCTTCTATTTTATCTTGTGCGATCCTCATTGTGATGTCTTCATCTGTATTTGTTATTATTTTGGTCTTGCTGTAATAATTCATAATTAAGGCATATCTTTCCAGCTTCTACGTTCAGTGCTTTCATCATTTCAAACATTCGTCACATTCGTCAAACACATCAATTCGTCTTTTTTATCGGTTATCAATACGATGTCATCAGCGTACCTTAGATGGTTCAAGCGTGTCAAGTGTCAAGTGCCGCATAACATGAGGTTAAACAATAACAGTCTGTCTTCCTATGACTACTAATTATTACAGTTGTCTTAAAAGAAAACTGACTAACAAGTTAATTAAAATGTTTGGAATAGCCAATAGACAAGATATCTATTTTCATCAAACAAAAACTACAATGTGTTATGTATGTGTTATTTCTTACCTGACGTCATTGCCTCCATGAGCAAAACTGCCAAATGTGGCTGTAAGCGCTTGTAAAAAACTGAACAGTCTTGAAACACTTTTATTCTCAACAAAAATATCGCCATTTTTTTCAATATCACTTGCTCGCATTCCTAAAAATAGTTTTAGTAATCGTATGAGTTAAATCCAGAAATTCAATTATGCATTGTATTGTATAAAGTATGATAGAATGAAGGATTAAGACAATGAATTAAACAAAATATCGAAACTGAAATAATTCAAAGTTAAGGAAAGAAGCAAGAAACAGTGTGAACCATCGAGGAAAAAGACAAAAAAAGGAATGTAAAGGTAGTGGGGGCAAAAATATTGTTAGACAGGAAGTGCTATCTTGAGAGGCCACATTAAATAAGAAAAGAGAGTATTTCCTTGTTTAAGAAATTAAATTTAGTTGGGTTATGTTATTGTTTGTCCCAACTGTCACATGAAAGCTTTATTATATTGAAGTTTTTTATCAATTGTGTCACATTTTAGACTGTTATCGTTAATATTTGAATAAAACTTTCTCGTCTAAGACACATTCTAAAAACTATTTTATAGCTACTGTTAATAAGCGTCGGAGAATTTAAATGTGGCGCATTCGGATTTCCGGATATATCCGCCATCGGAGCCCTCTTTTTTGGTCTCCTTTTCATAACCATTAGATTCCCTCTGTTGTCTTTTTGCTCGATGGTGTGAACATAATTATAAAGGTGATTACCTTGATCACAACGACCGGCAGAATTCCTATTGGTTATCAATGGAACTCCGCTTGAGCTTGGAGATAAAGCGGGGTTTACACTGGTTGTACTCTCGACTAGTTTAAGCTCGGTGGGTCTGGCGTATTTGCGCACTTCAGTCTCTTTCGCTCCTGGCGTGAACACGTGCTTATCGGTCGTTTGCACGGGGAAAATATACTTGGCAGCGGTGATACGGTTCTGGTCGAGCTGTTGCAGTTCCGTGCTCTCGGATATGACAGTTAATTGACGTTCTAGACAGGCAGAATTGCGGTTCGGTTTGCGGTTTGGACTTCCTTCCGGCGAAGTATCTGAAAATTAAAAAGAAGCCAATTTACTTTCAGATAACATAGATTATAGATCAAACATCATGATATTCTTGAAAAATAAGATAATAATACAAAGAAACCATGGCTTCTATGATATACAGATCGAGGAAGTTTGATAGGTTTTATACAATTAAATAGAAATAAAGAAACGGGATTAGATTATATCCCAAAATAGTATGTCAGTATTATAAAAAAAACTATTTGCCCATCCTAGCTTCGCACGGGTGGTGTTAAGCTTGTCTCAAAATATATGGTCTTGGCTTTCCCCTCGTTAAAGGATTCGTGTTATTATTGCCATTCTCATCAATGAAAAGATCAAAGTTATTGGTTCTTAGCTATAAAACATCAGAGGCGGACTTCAGGTAAAAATAATAATCATCATCAACATGTATGCATCCACTGCTAGACATATCTCACCTCTTTCCACCTGTCTCTGTCGTTTGCGGCTAGCATTCAGTTATTGCTAACACGCTTCAGATCGTCAGTCCATCTAGTTGGTGGTCGTCCTCTGCTCCGTATTGCTTCTTGCCTTAGTCTCCACTCTAAGATACGTTTTGTCCATCGGTTGTTTGATAATCTGCCGACGTGTTCTGCCCACTTCCATTTTAACGACGCAATTTTTTCGATTTTTTCTGTTGTTTTTGTACTACGACGTATTTTTTCATTTGGGATTCGATCTCTCAGAGAGATACCCAACCCAAAACTTTCTTACTTTCACCTTTTTTTATGGCATATTTAGAATCTTTTCTTTGTACTGATTTCAAAAATGTATAACACATGATATTTAAAGTGATTACTTTATGAGAAAAATACATACAAAATCAAGAAAACTGATTGAAAAAAAAATTATTTTTTTAACAATTTATTAAAAACATTTAGAATGATCATTTCACTACCAAAAATGTTTACAATAATTGTTCAAAATGACTTGTCGACATTTATCCTCTATTCTTTATCCTAAATCATCCAGAGATTCTGGTTGAGTAGCACAAATTTTTGTTTTTAAATACCTCATAGCCTAGGTGGCCTATCCATCATCTGTTCTCTTCTACCTAAGTACCTATCCAAAGAGCGGAAAAGTTTTGTTTAAAAATTGTCGCACAGGTAGATAGAAGTCTGTAGGAGCTTCATCACGTTGAAATACAACCAAATCTTCGGAAAGGTTATTATCATTTTATACTATTTTTCTAATACGATCAACCACTTCCCAAAGTAACTTATGATCTTCTTCTTTAAGTGCCGTCTCCCAATCGGAGATTGGATATCATCATCACTATCTTTACTTTATCTACTGCTGCTCTAAAGAGTTCTATAGAACTTCATTTAAACCAGTCTCTTAAATTCTTCAACCATGACACTCTCCTTCTTCCTATACTCCTTCCTCCTCTTATCTTTCCCTGTATTATCAGCCTTAGCAGTTCTTATCGCTGTCCCCTCATTACGTGTCCCAGATATTGTAACTTTCTTATTTTTATTGTGTTTATTATTTCGCATTCTTTGCCCATTTCTCGCAATACTTCCGTGTTAGTTTTCTTCTGTGTCCATGCTATTCTAAGTATCCTCTTGTAACACCACATTTCAAAGGAATGTAACTTATTTATGTGTTCTTGCTTCAATGTCCAGCTTTGAAGTCCATATTGCAGTATCGAAAACACGTAGCATCTCAGTGCTCTTCCTCTCAGTTCTAATCTAAGATCTTTGTTGCAGTGAATTGTTTTCATTTTTACGAACGCATTTCTTGCTATTTCTATCCTAGCTCTTATTTAGGTTGTTTGATCATTATTGTCTGAAATCCAGGTTCCTAAGTATTTGTATTTATCAACTCTTTCTATCGGCATATTTCCCAAATGTATGTTTGTTGGTATATTTGTTTTCTTTGTTATTATCATGTATTTGGTCTTTTTTATATTCATTTTTAGTCCATATTTTTCATAGAATCTCAGAATACAGAAACTCAGATTTCTTACTGGAGAAAAGATCTTCATCAACGATGACCTGACCGAAAAAGAAAGACAGATGAGGCAGGAAATCGTAAATAAAGGCAAGGAATTAAGAGCTGAAGGTAAAAATGTGAAGATAGGGTACAAAAAACTAACTGTGGATGGTATAAAATGGGTATGAGCCGAAAGTGGTACTTTCAAGCAAGAAAATTCTAGAAAAATGGACCCAAAAAACTATATATATATATATATATATATATATATATATATATATATATATATATATATATATATATATATAAACATATATATATATATATATATATACATATATATATATATATATATATATATATATATATATATATATATATATATATATATATATTATATATATCCAGGAAAATGAGTTTGAACATAAATAACAAAATAAAAAATAAGAATATGTACCTAAATATTGCTACATGGAATGTATAAGGAGTATACGAGGAGGGAGCATTAATTAACCTAATAGAAGAACTAAAAAAATATAAAATACACATCTTAGCAATACAGGAAACACATATAACTGGAAACATCATTAAAAAGATTATCCCATACACGTTTTATACAAGTGGATGCGATAATAGGAATTTTGGAGTAGGTTTTCTGGTACATGAAGACGTGGAGCAAGTAAAAAGATTCGTAGTAAAATCTGACAGAATTTGTGCAATGAGAATTAAAGGAAAAGAGAATATGATATCGTTGATAAATATACATGCTCAAACAGAAGAAAAAGAAGAAGAAGTGAAAGACGAATTTTATGAAGAATTAGAGTCATTGTGTGAAGAAATGCCCAGACAAGATACTAAAATTATTATAGGCGACACCAAAGCAAAGGTCGGAAGAGAAGATATATATAAAAACATAACAGGGGGTGAAAGTAAACATTTGAATACAAATGATAACGGACAAAGATTATTAACATTCGCAATTGAAAACAGGATGAAGATAATGAGTACCCATTTTAGGAGAAAAAATATATATAAAGGAACGTGGAAAATTCTTGGATCCAACGGAACTAATCAAATAGACCACATCTTAATACAAGAGAAGTTTGCCAATTTAATAACAAATGTAAAAACGTGCACAGGGGCTAACGTAGACTCAGATCATTTTTTGGTTAAAATTAATAGGAGAGAAGCAATTAATAATTAAAAAGCATAAACGGAAAAAGAAAGTGCAACGTAAACTTTGAAAAACTGCGAAAATTTAAGGTAGCGGAGGATTATCAAAAGGATATACAAGAAACCTACGCCAAACAAGATAACACTACTGTGAGTGACATACAACAAAAGTTCTTGAAAATGACAAACACTATAAAGGAAGCTACGTCGAAGAACATACCAAGAACAAAAAGATTTAGAAAAAACCACTGGTTCAATGAAGAATGCAGAACAGAGTTAAAAAAGAGATCAGATTTGCGATTAAAAAGTTTACGATTGCAAAAACAAGACGACCTAGAAAGGTATGCCGAACAACGAAAAAAAGTAAAGAGAATCCTAAGGCAGCGAAAACGAAAGTATATGGATGATAAAATTAAGCGCATTAAAGAAAATTACAAGAAAAATGAAATAAATTTTTTTTATAAAGAAGTGAAATACATTAAAACTGGGTACCAGGGAAGAACGATAAATGTAAAAGATAAGCAAGGAAACCTGATAGTGGACGAAGACCAAATATGTGAAAGGTGGAAAGAATATTTCGAAGACATGCTAAATGAAGGAGTGACTACTAAAGAAAATTGTTATGTTCCTAAACCTCAAATAGTAATAGAAGGAATACCAAAGCCTACAAGAGAAGAAAAATTGTAAGGGTTAGTGGGATAAATAGGTCCGGAACTATTTTATACAAGGAGTACCAATGCTTACGTTGATGATGTGGTTCTCGTTGCAAGAAATAGAAAAGAATTATCAGATATAACAAAAAGATTGATTATACACATTATAAAAAAGAAATAATAAAAGATATGAAAGATCAAAAAAGCCCCGGGGAGAGCGGCATTGTCGCAGAGAACATAAAATATGGAGGAGAGGCCTTAATAAACAAACTTGGTGAGCTAATACTAGAAGTATGGGATGCCGACGAAATGCCTTAAGAATGGAATAAGTCGATTATAATTCCTATACACAAAAAGGGAGATAGAACTGAATGCGCAAACTATAGAGGAATATCCTTATTAGAGGTAATTTATAAAGTACTCGCCATACTAATTAAAAAACGATTAGAAATATATATATAGAGAAGAATCTAGGAGAATACCAGGGAGGATTTCGGAAAGAAAGATCAACAACCGATCAAATTTTTATGCTAAAACAAATCCTGATCAATTGGTATGAATACAACATTTCAGCACAAGTACTTTTCATTGATTACAAAGTTGCCTACAATACAATGGACAGAAACAAGTTAATAGAAACACTAAAAGAATTCCAAGTGCCAGAAACAATAATAAGATTTGTAAAAATGACAATTAGACAAACCATTTGTGCTGTGAGATGCAACGGTACAGTCTCAGAAGAATTTGAAGTGAAAAAAGGTGTTCGCCAAGTAGACCCGTTTTCTACATTGCTATTCAATATATTTCTAGAAAAAATTGTAAGCGTTAGTGGGATAAATAGGTCCGGAACTATTTTATACAAGGAGCACCAATGCTTAGCACACGCTGATCATGTGGTTCTCGTTGCAAGAAATGGAAAAGAATTATCAGATATAACAAAAAGATTGATTATACACATTATAAAAAAGAAATAAACACCAGGGGATCCTTTAAATTGGAGGTGGAGGATGGATCAGTTGTAGAATTCGAGAAGGTGGATGAATATATATATACTTAGGTACTCTTATTGATCAGACATGTAAGGAAGAAACTGAAATCAACCTGAGACTGACCAAGGGCAAAAGGTGTGCTGGAGCCATGAGCAAAATAATTAATTCCAAAGATATATCTCGTGATACAAAAATAAGAGTATACAAAACTATAATTAGACCCACAATGCTATACGCTGCCGAGACATGGACTATGAACAAAACCGTACAGAATACGTTGGAAGCATGGGAAAGAAAGAAACTTCGCAGAATATTTGGTGGAAAATTAGTAGAGGAAGAATGGAGAAAACGAACTAATGCAGAAGTGTATCATTTGTATGCTAACCCTACAATAATAAGAGTGGTGAAAAAACGTAGACTAGAATGGCTCGGTCATCTAGAAAGAATGCAAGGTGATAGACTAGTCAAGAATATTGCTTGGAGAGTACCTGAAGGAAAAAAAGAGAGGAAGACCAAGAAAGAAATGGAGAGATGTAGTGATGGAAGATGTCAGAGAGATGGGAATCAGAGATTGGAAGCTGTTAGCTAAAAGGCCTGTTAACGCTGTACATACATATTTTTCACAAAAACTGTTTGTTTTGTTTAGCAGTAATTGGAGTTGTTCAGCAGAGCTTGCCATAATCACGGTGTCATCTGCATATCTTATGTTGTTAATAGAGCTTCCGTTAATTATTATTCCTTCACTTTGAGATAGTAATGCTTCTTTAAAAATGGCTTCACTATATACATTAAACAGTAATTGGGACATAATACATCCCTGCCTAACTCCTCTCTTGATCAATTTCTGCACTGGGTTCGTTATCTATTACGATTTGTGCTCTTTGATTCCAGTAGAGGTTTGTTATTATTCGTAAGTCCCTGTGGTCTATGTTTTTTGTCTTTAGAATTTGGACTAATTTTTCATGTCTTACTTTGTCAAATGCTTTTTCAAAATAACCAGGACAATTTTTTTCTTCCAATTCCTCGCTTTCCTTCTATTTTGCCTTTTATTATCAACTGAGGGATGTAGTATTTCTCGTTGCGCAACAAATGCCCTAAATAACTGGTTTTTCTTCTTTTGACTGTTCTCAATAGTTCTTTTTCTACATTGAGTCTAGCTAGTACTTCTTCGTTTGTTTTTCGTGCTGTCCAAGGTTTCATCATTCAGGCATTTTAAGAGTTCTATAGGGATTTCGTCTGGACCTAATGCTTTACCATTTTTGCTGATTTTTAATGCCATTTTAATTTCCTCTTTTAATATCTTTAAAACCATATCCTCTTCTACTTCCAACTCCATCTGTTCTGTTGTAATCTTCTTAATTTAACTCTTGTACCAATTTAATTTTGAATATATGGAATTTAAATGTATGGAAGATTCGGAAGACTGTAGAAGGTAAAATACCGATCACTCACCTTTGACAGTGACTGTGATTACTCAGCCTCCAAGTTAACTTGCTCTAAAACAGCTACTTGGATTGCTTCTTTATTTACAAGTCCCTGTCAGTTATGTGTTTTATTGCAAACTTGCCCTATTGCTCTAAATTTCTGCATCAGTTCAATCACATACTTAAGAGTTGCATGTCTATTGTAGTGTTTTTCATTAAAAATTCTAGCAGCAGCTCTTGCACAATTAATATTTTTGTAATACAAACCTACAATTTCGATTCTTTCTTGCAAAGTGTAAATCTTTTCGATCTAATTGCACACGTATCAAAATACTCTGTTGCAAGTTATAACAAATTGCCATTGACTATTAACCGATTCAAATGAATGGTCAAATATCGAAAACTTTTGATAAAATTTAAATAAAAAGTGAAGTTTCTTGTTTCTTGGTTTTTAAAGGTTCTGCAAATAGTATGGTTAAATATTTAAAAAGGTTAAATTATGCTACAATCTATTTTGTTAGTCAAGTAAGGTGAGCTAAACTAACTTCAATCCGAATGTATTATACAATTTTAAAATCAGTACAAAAAGTAGAATCCAAATATAAAATAACAAAAGGTGAAATAAAGGGATGATACGGGGGTGAGGGAGTGCCTTTTATAGCAAGTTTAAATATGACATAATGTCTCCCCCTTCAAATATTACTTAACGTGTTTTGCGCTTTTCCTTAAAATTAGAAGTAGATTTATCTGAAAAGCACTGTATGTGTAATCAAGTTTTAGCAAAATTAACAAAATCTTCTCGTAAAAAAACAGAAAAAAAAGAAGTATGTGGTATAGGCTTATTTTAGGAAATAATTTCGTCACTTTTATACTTACAATATCTTGAAAACAGTCCATTTACCTTGCTTTGATCTACACTACAAAATAATTTATTCTACAATTAAATACATTTTATAGTGTAAATTAAAAATGCTACCGTCAATTTTCTCAGATATACTGCTAACACGTTTTAAAAAAATTGAAATATTTTTCATATCTGTAGTACATGACATTTGAAGTGCCATAGTGATAAAAAATATTACTTTTAATTTATAATTTTTTTATATTACATTTTAAATAATAAACTTACCGGAAGATTCTCCTATATTAAAGTTCACAGCTAACTTCTCTTCCTTGACTTCTTCCTCTTTTATAACTTTTCTTTGCCATGGCACCACGAATAACCATGTAATTACCATGACGAAGATAGCTATGCTGATGCTTATAGTCGAAGCCATCCACAGCGGAATGTTGTCCATGTGGAGAAGCTTCGGACCATCGTGGATGATAGAAAAGAGGTTGATCAAAATGGTGAAACTATAGAAGAGCGGTAGGGACATTAGGCCTGCCTCTAAAGGATCGGGACGTGAAAGGATGAATCGTTTTATTATCCAAAGTAAAATACAGGAGGTGATGCCGCTAAATACTGGAGAAATGAACCACGAACCAACTGAAAAATATATGTATAATTAAACAATGATATAATATTTGAGAAAAAAAAATATTGTAGGTTTATTGCTTACCAATTTTGCCAAGAGTTTTCCACTGCACACCTTGACTTCCTCTCAAAACCAAGCTATAGCCTACTGTAGCCCCTACAATACTGTGTGTTCCGGAAATAGGAAGCTTGAAGAACGTAGCCACTATCAACCAAGCGGCGCTGGCAGTGAGAGCACTGATTGAGCCCAACATCAATTCCTTTTCGGCATCCTTGTACATATTTATATCCAGAATTCCTTTCCTCATCGTATCCGAAACTTTATAACCTATAAAATATTAAGTAGAAGTAGAAGGGAATAAGTGGCATTTACATGTCTTCAGATATTGACCTTCAAATTTAAATAATTACTTTTTTTTAAAGCAATGTCTAGCCTTCGAAATTTCTAGAACTGTCAGAGTCTCTTGCTCCTGCTCAGACCTATCTGTTATACGTCATTACTATTTAGTTTGTTTGTGTTGAGTAGTCCTACCACGTATTCTAAGATTGACCCCACATTTCTCGTGTTCTCAGCATCCACTCTAGTAACTTTTTGGTGCATCGATTCTGTACCTTAACATGTTCTGAACCTCTACCGCGCTCTTCATTTTTGCCACGAGGTCGAGATAACTCCATTTTTGTCTAGTAGTCCTCACTATTACGTTGGTAATCCTAGTTGTTATGTTTATTTCTTTATTTTTGATTTTATACCTCAAACTTATACCAAACGTGGATCTCTTTATTTTACTATGTGTAAGTCTTAATTTGGTAGCTAAAGCTTGTTAGAGTGAACGTTTCTGCATCGTTTCAAACAACGTTCATACAAATGAGACACTTCAAGTGTATTAAAAGTGTCTTACAATTTTCTATGTGCATCCCATTGTATTCCACTTTAATCAGTTCTATATAGTTTAAGTAAATGTTGATTTATACAAACATATAGTTTCAGTGATGAAACAATACAAAGTGGATATATCCTGGTAATGCAAGAAACGAAACAAAAGGGAACTCGTGTAACAATGATAGACAACTACAGATTTTTCAGTAGTGATGGGGAAGACCGAATGTTGGGAACGGGTTGTATAATTATTGATGGCTTACAAAGTGCGATAGTGGAATTCGATCCACTATCTGAATGGATTTGTAGGCTGAGACTCCGAGGTAAAACTAAAAAATTAAGTTTAATAAATGTGCATGCTAAAAGTAGAAATGAAGAGACGTACCGAAAAACTACAGGAAGTAAAAGCAAACATGATGAAAGCAACAAGAATGGGAAGTGGTTGATAGGCTTTAAACAAGAAAACAACTTATGAGAGAATTAGGAGTACCTACTTACTTCGATGACAAGAAAACCCACAAGGGAACATTTATCGCTCCAGATAATAGAACGCGCAACCAAATTGACCACGTGTTATAAAGGGGCAGACGCCTATTCAGATCACATACCAATGGTCACAAAATTAAAAAAAAACTCTCCCAAAGGTCAGGCAGACGTGACAGCAAAATACTTCAAAGGTGAAATCAAGGTGACATCGAAATGGAGTGAAGAATAATAGATAGAAGAATAAGAAGAATAATAGAAGAAGCTAGAAAGGATGCAGCTCAAAAGCGGTTACGTCAAGTAAAAAAGGGGAGAGATAAAGAATAGTTTGATGCCTATTGCACTTTATCAAACGAAACGAGACAAAACTAAAATATATGAACAAACCAAGTGATAAAAATAGAAATGAATATGAAGCAAAGAGAAGAGCCCTAAAAAAGTAAGAGAGTACTTTTCATCTGGCTAGCAACCTTTTTGTCAAAAATGTCTGATACCATTTGTTAAAAATAATATGCAGTAAAGTAGTATGAACTAAAGTGTAGTATGTAGCAAACCAGCAAAAAAAAAAGTAAAAAACGAAACAATTATCATTATTTTTATTTTTTTCTGAATGTATTTAATGCAATGCAGTGTTACGGTATTTTTTATGGGGTATATCTCTTAATTTCCGTTAGTAGACAAAAACTTAAAAATAATTGGCATTTACATTACAAAAAATGTAAGACTGGCTTAAACTTTTATCATTGTAACCCTAGGATACCCTCAAGAAGATGGTTTTACACAGAATCTAATCGACATTTTATAAAGACCATTAATCGGCTGAGAGCAACTCATGCTCTTACGCCATCTTATATGCATAGAATAGGCTTATCAAATACTTCCAATTGTACTTGTGGCAAAATAGCAGATCTAACATATATTATATTTGAATGTGATTTACAAATTAGTAATATAAACCAACTTTATAAGGAATTAATAACTTTTAAGTATTGTTTTTCAATAAACCTTAATCTTTTAATATTTTCAAATAATATGGAAATTCTTCATTGCATTTACAAACATGTTAAAATTAGTGATGTAACAAATGTCATTTTTTAAACATTCGCGAATGCGAATGCGAATGCGAATATATGCCACCGACATTCGCGAATGCGAATGCGAATGCGAATATTCAGTTTTTTTTTAATTTGGCAATTTTAATTGTCTCCGGCACTGCCGGCAGTCTCATTTGCGCGAGGTGTGTAGGCAATTGGAAAAAGTCTGTCATTTTTAACTGCTTTAAATTGTCCAGTATCATTCTATCATATTTGCTAAAGTAAAGATGTGAAACAGTTGTATTTATTGTAAAGAAGTTTATTGTAGGCGGTTAAGTTTATTGAGGGGTCGTTTAAAAAGGTATTTATTTATAGTCACGTCCGGGCCAAAAACGTAGAAAGCACGTTTTTCGATCTTATTTTCTCTTGTTATAATCAAATTTGACTTGTTATAGAGAGAAAGTTATAGCAGAGAACTAAGTTCTCTGGTTATAGTTCCAATAAAAATTTCACGGGACACAAGTCACTCCACTTTCCCTGCTCTGCTCGTGCACAAATACAAGTGAATTTTTAGTTAAAGTGTGATTAGCGATTTATTACTATGAGTAAATCAAATTATAGTGAAATATGGACTTATTTTTCACCACTTTTCGATACTGAACGAGCTAAATGCAAGCTGTGTAATATTCGCAAAACATTCGCACAAATTTTGCGAATGCGAATGCAAATGCGAATATGCAAAAATATGCGAATATTCGCGAATGCGAATGCGAATGCGAATATTCGTTACATCACTAGTTAAAATATGTAAATACAAGTTGTAAATAGTATATAGGCATAATCTCTTAACATGGTTTGAAAAAAATAACAAAAAAAAACAAAAAAATACAGAAAAGAAAACAAAAAAAGCAAAAAAACAAAAAGAAGCAACAAGCAAAAAAACAAGAAGATAATAAAAGAATAAAAAACAAAATAAAAACATATCAAAACAATATTTATGTATCCATAAAAATATTAGGTATATGTAGTACTAACATTGATAACTGATAACCAGAAAATTTTGAATGCAATCAAAATTTTCTAATGAAATATGAATCTGCAATCAATAATAATTAAAATTCAGTCAATTTTAACAATAAACACAAACAAGTCTGACAAATTAGCTCTGTCAAAGCCATTTTTTAGAAAAAACAATCTCTTTGTTTTTTTTTGCATGTTTGAATAACCTTTGTTTTTTGTATACAACACTCAATTTGTATGTAGATTGTAAGATATTTGTATGTATATTGTACAGTACGTTACAACAACAATACGATTTCTTCACTTATAGCAAAAGATCAAGTTGTCTAAGCCTAGGACTCATATATGATTTAGAGTTCACGATAAAAGGGATGTATGATTGATAATTACAAAAAATACGAATTACAGATAAACACAAAATTCAATAAAGTAGGAAAATCTTAAAAACTCTTAATTCATTATAGTGGAATAAAAATATCTCAAATGAAATGAATATAAGGTAAGATCTATGTTAAAAGCAGCTTTCAGTTAGGGGTCAGAAGTGTGGACTCTCCATGCAGATCTAATAAAGAAGCCGCTTAGCAGCAGAAAATGATTTATAAAAGAAGCGCAACAATATCATGAATAGAAAGGACAAGTAGTGAGAAAGTAAGAACTCGAATGAAAGCAGAAGAAAGAGAGATGCATTTAATAGAAAAACGGTGCTTACATGTTGTATTGTAACTATAGCCGTAATATATAAATAAATAATTAATAGTCGGTTCAGCTGGTTATTAAACCCAATTCGATGTAAGTAGTTTAGTTGATTCGTGGTTCAAAACAAGGACTGGTCATAAAATAAAAATTCAAAAGTAGTAGTTTAAAATCCAAAGTGAATCTATAACTTAAAATTGGGATACACGAGTGGATCAAGTCGACAGATAGATGAGTGGTATGGTAACTTATATCCCAGACTCACTCATTACTTCATCCCTAGCGGAAGGCTTTGAGACTATAGAAAACCGAAACATAGTACTATTATTTCAAATAAACTTTTCCAACAAATTAATGACTAAAAGTATGCTTAAATCAAACTAAAAGTCAGTCACTTAGTCTATTTGTGGTAAATTCTAAATAATTGCAGTACTTACCAATCAAAATAGACCCTGAAATTTCAAAAACTGTAGCTAGACAACAAGCTTGAAATATTGTCAGTACTTTTGATCCCACACTTGTTCCAAATGAGTTTGCTACATCATTTGCCCCTATCCCAAAAGCTAAAATAGATTAAAATTGGATATTGATGATATCTTTTATTTTCATTTAGTTAACTTACCTAAAACAAATGCAATAAGAAAACCTAAAACAATAAGCCATACGTCATCAGGATTATATGGTTCCAACATAATTTTTATATGTAGTTTTAAAAATGTAACAAAAAATGTGTGAAAAGGGTATTAAAGAACAGCCATTTTGAAGAAAGAGGTGTTAGGTATCTGAAAAAGAGAATAAAAGGTAATAATAATATGTTATATAGTTTAAAAAAATTGCTTTTTACTTTTAGCTGTTGTATCAGACTGAGTCAAATATAGAATATATATTTTTAAAAAGCCCTTAATAGGTATTTATGAGAGAAAATAACAAAAAGAAGATATATTTAAAAAAAATGTTTGTTTTTTTCACTGCCAATATGTACCAATCGTCTTCATTAGGAGAAATTAGTTTATATTGTTTTTAAAAATATTTTTTTAAAATAGGTATACCTACACTTTTGCCCTTTAAATGTTTTTTACCAAACTTAGTTTCGAAACACTTTCGAAAAGTCCTTGACCAAACAGAAGAAGTATTAAAAAATCTGGTTTGATCGAGATCTCATCGAAAAATCCTGAAATGTCTAGTAATATCTAGAACGTCAGAAAATGTATATAATCATAGAATAAGTGATGGATTCGGATCATCTATAAACAAAGATTTCAAAACATCCCGTATTCAAACAGGTTTTATATTAATGAAGATACGTAGACGATGTACTTGTATGTTTTTCAGGAACTAACAGGCAACTTGACCAATTTTTATCGTATACTATTTCACCCCATAGTCATTACAATAGAAAAAGAACAGAATCAATCCATCAATTTTCTAGGTTTAAAAATTATCAGACTTAAAAACAAACATGAGTTCTCCATATTTCATTAGCCTACCCATACTGACACGACTATACACAATTCATCACGCCATCACAAAACATAAATTGGCAGCCTACCATAGCATATGTTACATGTTACATATGTTAGTAGAAATTCTGATTTCAAAAAACAACTTTGAGATAAAATTAAACATCATTAAGCAAATAATAGTAAACAATTGGTAAAACGAACAAACAATAAATCATATTTTAAATTAAAAACTACATAAAAATACCCTGAACTTGGTATTTCCACCACCAGAGAAAAAACTCAGTACCTTCTGCTCGATTAGATACATATAGAGGTAAAATATCAACAAAAATAGACAAACACTTGAAAAAAAAACGGAATGATACCAGCTTTTAGAGCAAACAACAACTTAGACAAATACAAGAAAAACAACAAAAACCAGAAGAAAAGCACTTACACAGTGGTGTATACTAACTTAAATGTGGAATTTACATCGGTCAAATTGGTAGAACTTTTAAAAAATGTATAGCAGAACATAAAAGGGCTTTCAATAATATAAAAACAGATTTTTAAGTACGCACTTCACCTTCTAGACCATAATCATTCTTTTAATAATGAATTTCAAATTCTTCAAATGCCTTAAGCTATCTTTATTAGAATCTAGGAAAATCAACAAATTAAAAAATACAGATATAATTCTGAATGACCAACTTAAGACAAACAGTTATCCTCTCCTTAATCTATTTAGTAAAAGACTATAAAGTGTAAACACATACCAAAAATAGACCACTTTAGAAAATGAATGTGGAAGTTTTGAAAACAAAAGTTTTCAGTATTTTATTGTTATGTAACCCTAAAAGTTAGCAGTTTAAGTAACAGTAGTACCTATTTTGAAGTTTATAGTTGTCATTGTGTTAAAGTATTGCAAAGAAGTTGATATCAGAATCAAGCATTTTCAAGAAGTATCACATTGATGACAGCTGTGGAATTAAAGAGATATTTAAACAATTGTTAATGGGTAATACAAGACTTTCTGAATTTGATAAAGAAATGGATATGTCCGGACTCCACATGGTTTTTAAAAATGGAAGAAGAAAAAGGGAAGCGTAGGAAGGTGAAGAATAAGCAAAGCCAGAAAGAGGAAGATATGAAGAAGAAGCGTAGACAAGTAGAAGTAGAAATCATGAATGGTTTATCTCAAATTTACGAAAATATTAAGCTAGAGGTAATTCAAATTACTAGTAGAATAAGCAAATTAGAAGAATAACAGAACGATATAAAAACCGATTTAGAAAATAAAACAACACAACAACAAGACGATTTAAAAAAATATTTAGAAAATAAAATAATAAAATTAAACGATTGGGAAATTAAAATAGTATAATATCAAAACGATTTTAAATCTAATTTAGAAAGACAAATAGTTAAATTAGTTTAGTTAAAATTGGAACCCAAGCTTTTTTTATCTAATATTGTTTTAGTAATATAATGTTGAATCTGAACAAAGAGCTTCATTATCTCCCATAGTTGAACCAAACACAATTAAAACTAGCCAAATTTTAAAACCATCCACATTTGATAGTCAAATAGCATAGAAGACTAAATCATTTTTATTTTGAATCTACAGCTAGAGCAAATGGCTGGACTGATAAAGAATGGAATTCAAACTGGCATTATTCGGTCACATTAAGAGACAACTTGTGCATCTGATCATTTAGGGCAAGATCCATGGTAAACGTGGTCCTGATAGAAGAAGAATATCGTGGCTGAAAAATCCAAGATAATGGTATGGAAAATCGACTAGATCATTAATTAAAGCTACTGCCAACATGGTATCAAACGGTCGATAACGGTCATAGAACTAGAAGAATGAGAAGATAGAATTGGGAAACATAAAAAATACAAGTCTATCTTATATACCATTGAACATCAATAAAAGTTCAGTCATGATTTTATTCCTTATGATTTTGAACGTACTGAAAAATGAAATGAAGAAGAGTAAAATATGTGAAAACTGTGGGGTTTCCTATGTAAATCTGCTTAAAAATAGAATTTTCTTTTGTAAAGAAAATCGCATGTGCTGCGACAATGCTTATTCCATTTTGTCAATTGATAGAGGAGTATTGATTCTATTTTTAGGCATAGAGAATTTTGGCATAAGGGTAACTGGTGCCCTAAGGGTGTTAATTATAATCGAAACATGTAATGTTAATAGGTCAGTGTCCGCGTTTTTCTTCTTTATGCCTCTTGAAAGTTTGTTAGTTTTCACGATAAGAAACCTGCAAAAAAAAAAAGAATAACGGCAGGTCGTAAAAATGAAAAATTTTACCTTAAAAAAGTTACGGAAAATGGCGAAAATTCGATTTTTAGAAAAACAAACCCGGTTTAACTCTAAATTTTCTTTTTTTTTTGCTTATCTTATATGACATTTTTAGTACAGAAAAAGGCATAAGGGATAAAATCTTGATTAAACGTCGTATTAAAATCCGACGGTCTATTACCAACGAAAATAGATGCTCATAAATAAGTATCTATATTCGTTGGTATTACTCTTAATAGCGATAAATATATCGATAAATATCGACCAAACTGGACTAAATACTGCAAAAATATTCAGTGCTATACTCTCGCAGCAGATAAGCTTGATACAAAAATAGAAAAATTCTACGTGAAAATAAAATAGTTACTTAATCATATCAAAATAATGAAGTTATAATAATTATAGGAGATTTAAATGCGAAAGTTGGTAAGTAACAAATTTAGAAATTTTAGAAATAATATTAAGGAGTACCTATAAATAACAATGCGTTCACAAAGATTGACATAATAAATCGGAATTCTTAATGTAGATTTTGATTATATGGAACAAGATTAGAACAATATTTTGAGGATATGGAATCGCTATAATAAATAATATCAAGATAAACTAGTTCTGAGAGCAAATAAAATGCAAAAGAGTTACATCTTAAAGAATTAGATCGTACGAGAATAAGAACCTTGAAAAATACAATGAAATAAATACAGAATCAAGAAAAAAATTAGAGTCACTACGGAAGTGTTTGTAAAAGAAAATTGTAACGAAATAAAAGTACTTCAGATGATAGTCATGCCGCTCATAAGAAAATCAATGAAATAACCAATTTCTACAGAATCAGTCAATTTAAGGTATAGTAAATAATATTAATGTTTTAATAGCAGAATAAAAAGAAATGTTTCATTCGTATATATAAGATCAATGTTTAGAGATAATTCATCAAGAATATATATATCATGATTGATGTTTATTAAATCAGAAAGCACGATATAGCCAGCTTCATATTGAACCACACCATATTACTCTCATTTTTACAAGAAACGGGATTAGATAAACAGAAAATAGAATTTAATAGAAAATTATATTGAAATCAAGAACCATTAATACGAATATAAGAGAAAACAGAACTACCATTGAAATAGTAGTGACACAGAGCTGTGTCCTATCACGTACACTGTTTAACATATACTCGAAACACATTTTTAAGACAGCATTAGCCAACATGGAGGATGTAATAAAAATCAACGGTGCAAGATTATATAAGACGCAGATGATATTGGTGTTATAACAGACGCAGACGTTTAGAAGCTCTTCAAGGCTTACTAGGTAAAATTGAAGACACAGGAGAAGAATTTGATATGAAAATTATTGTGGCAATAATAAAAGGCATGGCCCTAACAAGAACATCACACCTGCAACCAAATATAACTCTATATGGCTCGGTATTGAAGAGTATTGGAAAATTCAGGTACTTTGGTTGTTAGATTACCAAAATGTTAAATCTAATGGTAAACTATCTAATGTATCTTTGGATTTAAACATAGGATACCGATTTGTTAAAGCATATGTGCACTCAATTCTATTATATAACATAGACAATTGGGTACCATATACAGGCTTCTTCCGTTTAAATTACATCTAGAAAAATGCTACCAACTCCATGCACACAACATATACCAATGAGGAAGTTCTAAGCAAAATGGGAAGAAAAAGAGATCAGCAATCAAAAGTAACTGGACCATGTATGTCGTAATCCTAAGTATGGCATATCAAAATTAATAATAAAAGATAATATATAAAGCAAGTGTGCTCCACTAGTCGATAATATTCATGGCTGAAAAATACCCGCAATTTGATTTATGAGCACTACAGCCTTGCTCACATTTAGTCAAAATCGACAGATATATGCCACTAGTACCTATTACTAACCAGTAGG